ACTTATCTATGTAATTCAAGAATAAGCACACTTTCTTAAATTTATTTATATTTTTTTATCCAAACTTAGTCGCGCAAAATTGCTCCATAAAGTTGTTTTGATATTTTGTGACCGCTGTAACATTTTTTTCTTTATTTTCTTCGTCCTCATCACGATTCAGTTCTTTATGAATTGCTAATCGGATTCAGAAATGCTGCTATCATTCAAAATTCGTTCATTAAATCGTTATTGATTCACGTGTCAAGAAAAGTGTTTCTAAACAATTTTTACACTTTTACTTGAAAAAGAAATGCAAGAAAAATCACTTGGGTTTGCCAAAGAAACGCAAGGGACCATAATTTTCAAATAATTCTGTTTTTCATTGCCTCTACAAGTTGCGCAATCCATACCACCATAGATGCGAACTTGACATATTTGGCGAAACCTCAAAAGTCAAGGAATTGTTGGATTTTATAGTTTTTATGAACTATATATTCGAATTCATATCAACTTCTCGTTTTTACTTGTTTATTCAAACAACTTTTGTCCTTTAGGGCATTCAAAGTCGTGGTCAAGTTTCCTTTGTGTATTCAATAAATGATAAAAATGATGAAACTTTTTATTGGTAAAAGTATAATTTACAGACCTTCCACCGAACCCGCAATAAAGAGGGAAAGCCTGTAAAATATAAAAAACCTGATTCTATCTACATTAGAGTTACAGTATAAAATGGGAAGAGCACTACAAATATCAAAAAAAAATTTCTACTTTTTCATCTCAGCTTTGTACTAAACAATTCCTGCGAATGACGTAAGACAAATAAGGCTCAGTAAACGTAGCTATTACTGAACGTCACAGTTATTATCGCCCCACGCCTCACTCATCCCTCATGAGTGTTGATTCAGCTGTTGCACATGAATGTTCTTTGCGTTCCGCTTCGCTCTGTGTGTTTTTTCGTGGATCTGTTTGTGTGTGTATGTGTCCTCCAGCGGTTCGGCATTCGAACATGGCTGTATAGTTGCCGCCTAGTCGCTTAATTTAGTTTGTTTTCGGCGCATATTGAAACGAAGCGATGTCGTCGTGAAGTTGCACTTTCTCTGACGACGGCGAACGAACGCGCGCACGTACGGAAAGAGCGAGCGCGGGAGAAGATGCCATTGCAATCAAGTGCATTCTCGACTAGGCAATGTTGCCATCGAGAAATACACGGGGATGGGGGAAAGGGGGGGGGGGGAGGAATTTCCTTCATTCCTCCATATTCAAAGCTCTTCAATACTTGATCTACTTTCTTTCACTTAGGTTTTCCGTGGCTACTCAATAGAATGCTTTCGTTTTGTATGACAGTGGTACGCGTAACATATTTTCAAAAAAAAATTTTCTTGTTTTTTCAGAAGGAAGGAGCACTGCAAAATTTATGAATTTCTTGTTAGCAATATTTTTTATGTACTTGATTTATTTTATTTTATTTGTGATTTATACTCATTTTTTATTACATTTTTCAACCCCAATTTTCTTTGCCAGTTATTACGCAGTAAGGGAAACATCTGGAGTTATCACGCTTTGATTCTTCATATTCTTACAAGATTGGGGACAAATTTCTTGTATACCTAATTTGATTTTCTAAAAAAATGAAAAATTTGCTAGTCAAAAAAAAACGAATACACTTTATGCTATACGTATGTGAACCACTTTCACCTTCTTTCCTTTACTGTCTATTGTTGGCTGACTCTAAGAACTTTCAATCTGGTGTTTCCAGTAATAGCAGATTGGAGAATATTTTATGAAGTGACAAAATTATTTGACAATGTATTTGCGATGTTCTGGTTCTTGCTGCTCGATAATATTGCAATTTTTCCCTTCCATTTCCTACGAACATTATTATCGTAAAATAGTTTATCTTCATAAGAAAAGTGGAATTTGTCGTTTTAGAAGTAATTCATAGGATTATCTGGATGGACTTATGATAACGCCCTTATATATGCAACATACACAGGGAACTTTGATCGACAAATCTGATTCCTTCCCGTTCATCCCTTCTGAGGATTTCTTTTGTAATTGCACTTCGTTTCAAACCAGCTTCGCTAAGTGGCCATGTTTTTTCGTTTCTTTCGTTTTCCAGAAGAAGCAGTATCATCTTATCAAATATGACAAATGACACATTCGTTTCCAAGAAACCGTTTTTCTCCTGGAGTTGCGCAAAAAACCAACGGCACACAAAGAACGTCTGAAACTCACAGTGGCACAAGCTGTCACCGTATAAAGGGCACATTTCGAGCCGTGTGATACTATGAGAGAGATCAGAATTCGTTTTGAATTCGTTATCGGCTCAGCGCTTGATGAGCCCTGCATGTCTGGACTGTAGCTGGCTGTTATAGGCACTTTGGCGCCATTATTTTGAATAACGAAGTTGTCTGGGCCCAGATCTACTCTCTTTATATCTTGAAGTGGAAAAAGTATTTGTTTGTATCTCAAAATCAACCATGACAATAGTACAACCTGACCCGGGCGATTTACCCTCATAGTTTTGAAAAATTTCAATAGAAAGGGGGACTCTTGTGATGCCAACGGATATAGTTGAGTCCGTTTAAGGCCTAATGTCTGCAATTGCACACATAACGCTCTGTGCGCGTCAGCCAGTGCATTTTCTCCATCTCAGTGTCTTTTGCTAAGATTTCTAAATATCGCCCTTTATACATAAGAGAATGAGAATAACGCGCTTGCTAAGGAAGTTTATCTTCCCATGGCCGGCGAACTCCTGAATTTTCCGCGCAATGCGCATTTTGTCTGCGACTGCAGATAAAGCCAAAAGCTGACCCAACGATGTGTAGAGGTGATTAATCAACTCAAATTTGCATGCTATTCGTCCTCCTAAATCATTCATTAAGTTTAAGGATCACTTTCTCGAATTTTTCGCTCAAACACCAGTCCTGAAAAGATTGATTATATTGTGCTGGCTGTTTTTTGTTTGAGCCATCGGTCATCTACGTCCTGAAACTTTTCGGTAAAAAGCGGAACCATGCAATAGAATACCTATTTACCAACTTTTATCTCTTCAAAGTCACGTAAAAGTGCTGTCAGATTATTTTAGAAAGTGCTTAACTGATAAAAGTCTGAAAATAATCTCCAAAGCCAACCCTTCAGCCAGTGACGTTCCTTTTCAAAAACTGAATTATTTTAATGTCAAACTGAATGGACTTCTGTCTATCTGCGTTTATACGGCTAGTGGCAATAAACTTGGGTAAATAAGAAGCTTTTGCGCAAATCTGACGTCATCGCAAATTCTTAGTAGAATCTTGACGTCATTACATCCCTTACGTCATGGAAAGACAATGTCTTAGAATGCATAATGTGCGTCCTTCATTTGATTAAGAATTAAAATGGTAATTCTGACTCGTATTGATATTCCTCGTACCTAAGCAAAAAGTCCTCAGTTTTCACTAAAAATAAGTCGCAGTTCATTTATGGATAGTGTATTAATTTCAATACTGCTGAAGTTCAGATTGCCCCTAATTAGTTCCGTTTTCTGCCCTTCTGAATAAGCGAACAGTTCTAATTGTTCAATTATTCCTTTCGTAAACAATTTTCTCAAAAGTTTGCGCCATTGCCCTTTGCTTTTCCCTAGAGTATCTCCCAATTATCAAGACCTTCAAAGTGCTATCTAAATGTCTCTTACATGACCATTAAGCATAGTACATGCACTACCGCAATCTGTATATGTGTACTGCCACAAAAGTGCACCAGCCCCCCCCCCCCCTCGTTAGAGATTGGCCTTATCTAATTCTTTGACAATGTGTTTGGTTAGAAATATAGGAGTTTTTCTTCTCGAGACACATTACGTGCACGAGAGTGGGGCTTTGCGGTTTTTTCGAACAGTAGCGCGCTTTATCTGCGTCACACCATCAGCGATAAATTCCGTAATTAGATCTATTTGAAGTTTTTCCCACTGATGATGTAACGTTCCCGAGTATCACGTTGACGAAAAGCGCGCTATCAGTGTGGATTTTTTTGTTATTTACATTAAGTGTGATTTGTACGAAACGTGATAATTGCTTCTTTCAAAAGAACTAATTTCATCGACGCAGTACTTTTATGTCCATACCAGAAGAAAGAAACAGCTATTAAACCTGAAATAATTTTATTGTTACGAAACGTGCGATGTGTATGCGCACAACTTCCATAATTGCCACCATTGATTGCAGAACATATTTGGCAATTATCCAAAACTTTAATCTTTTAGAAATGTTAATGGTTACGGCTTTGCTTATTATGTCATCTCCTACTTATCTTTCCATTTATCTTGAAGACAAAAGCTCTACATTTTTGTTGCAGCGATTAATCGATTCAGCTGTTCCAGAAATTTTCACATCAAAGAAAAAAAATAACTTCATATAATCTTTATTTTTTGAAGTAAGATTTTGCTCCTCGACCTCTTTGCCACTCCTGTTTGTCTCAAGGTCAACTTCAGCTTCCGGGTTGATTTGTTTTCGAATTCTGTCTGAGCTGTTCGTTATCAAAACAGCTTGGATACACGAGATAAACAAATAGGTGGTGGTGTGAATCTTATTTCATTGGTCCACATCTTTAGGGGGAAGTTTGAGGGATTTTGATAAAATATGAATGGGGCAGACTTTTTCTGAAAAATTTGGACATTGATTTGATATTTAGAATTTGAGTTGCTCACTGTTGTTCCTTTCTGCTTCATTGTTCTAATTTTGAACTTAAAACGTTCACATTTTTTCTGCTTATAAAAAAGGGAAATGTTTTCAGTCTGCCATTCGGAAACTTCACCAATGAACTTTTCATTTATTCACCGTTCTGTTGTACTATTTAGAAAGTTTCACTCAAAAATTGTTTCCATAAAATTCACTAACTTCCCTGGATATTAAATCATTTTTACTGGAAAAAATCCACTAATTTCTTCCTTGAAAATTTGCTTTTTTTTCATGCTTTTTCTTTGTTCGCTTACGTCTTGGCTGGCACAATCCCTACACCATCAGCTCCATCTAACACATGTTGTTCAGAGTTCGTTCTGGTGTCAACGCCAACACTTTGACATCGTCGGTCAGCGCTTCGACAATCAGCGGCTCGACGATAGCACCTTCACAAGCACCTTCACTAGCTGCAGCCGTACCGCCGCCACCACCTCCACCATCACTGCCGTCACAATTTCCTCCTCTTGTATCAATTAGGGGTAATTCGTTACCATTGGATTACGACATGCCATCATACGGTCACGACAACAATCATCATTATAATAATAATCAGTGAGTTTTGCTTTTCTTCGACAGTAGTTTTTTCTTGGCAAAAAAGAGAGTAAGCGGCGGTAAGACATAAATCGAATCGGCTTATCCTGAAGGCAGTATCCACCCAAAATTTTGCCTTCCATTTTTTTGTCATTGTGTGGGCTTTCCATGGCCTTGATTACAGTTATGAAGTTTAAAAACTGCAAAACTCCAAAAAAACCGTTCTTAGAACGGTTGTGGGCTTATCGAAAGGCTTATCCTGGAGGCAGACGACTTTCAGTACCTGGGTGGGCGGGGCTTGATAAGGTGGGCGGAGCTTAGTAATCTCAGCAGCTTCAAGGTCCATTATTTCCATTCAGAGAAAAAACTGGAGGACCGTGTCAATGCAGATGCCCCTCTCTTGGGGCCTACATCAGGCTAAGTATCAATTGGAAGGGGTTAGATTCTGCCTGGACACTGCCTTTTAACGAAAGCAGAATTTTGATGACACAAAGCTTAATTGTGCTGCTCAAAAAAAGATTTTTTTGATAGAGAGAGCCGTGAAGCAACACTTTGACCGGGCTTATTCATGTTGTCCAACATCAATTTACTTTGATGAGTATCCCAAAAATTTCAGATCACAATTTTCGTGACATACTTCAAAAAATGAAATCGCGACTTGATCTCCATCAGCAGCAAGATCATCTTGCACAATTTCATTTGAGGAGAACAAAATTTCGCGCATACCCTGTTCACGATCTTTCAATCTTTTTCTTTGTTTATTCATCAAGCTTTGAGTTTGCGGTCAGCTGTTGTAATGACGAAACCAAACATTCGTAGGATGGTTCCGGTCATAACGGTTATCCATCAAGTTATAATTCCAAAGTGGAATCGCTTTGACATTACACCTTTTCCATATCGTTTCTCACTGAAAGGTCTCAAAAAATTTTCACAGCTTGAGAAATTATCTAAAGCTCTATGAATGCCGAATAAGGGTTTTGTCAGACAAAGCTCAATAAGAAGTGAACTTTTTTCAGGCATATGCGGCATAATGGTCGCTCAGCGACTGGTAAAAAAGCTGCGAATCCAGACTCGTACAAAACCGTGATGTGCCAGGCTTGGCTTGAATCTAAAATGTGTGCATTTGGTGAAAATTGCCGATTTGCACATGGAGAAGCAGAACTTCGACCTGTGAGGTACGTAATTTATTCTGATTCTCTATTCGAGAATTATGCATCTTTTTATCGGATTCCAAATCCTATAGTGCTCCTAAACTTAAGAATGATAAAAAAATTTCTTTGTTTTGAAAGAACTTGAGTGGTTGTTTAGAGGCTGTAAATAATGAAGGTAATATCCCGAATATTTTTATTTTCAGATCAGTACCGTGCCAAATAAACAAGTACAAAACGAAACTCTGCGACAAATATACCACAACAGGCTTGTGTCCATATGGAGATCGTTGCCTGTTCATTCACCCAGACCATGGAACCAACGCTTATATCAGACCGGATAAATTGGTCGAGGTAGGTCAAAAATCCTCACCTTGGGAAAGTTTTTGCCAAATTACTTAACTATTTCAGGTCTCGCGTCGTCATGCATTAGCTGACATGCAATTCCTAGCTTCCATGGAAGCAGCTCGTGCTGTGACTCCACCGAACCTCGCCCCATTACCCGGACAGCTGCCCGGTCTTCCCGGACAGCTACCCGGTCAATTAGCCGGACAACTGCCTCAACTGCCTGGACAACTGCCGGGACAACCTCACCCAGCCTTTCCTCCTATGGTCCCGCCACCTCCACCAGTATTTTCAATGCGCAACACAATGAGCACGCCATGCAGTCGAAATCCGACCAATATGGGAACCGCTGCGGCCGTCGGAACAGCAGCGGCTGCGACCGCGGCAGCGACGGCGGCGGCAACGGCACAAACGCGTACTCAGCTCCGCCCACATCCAAGTTGGCCTCTGGAACCTTCCACGTTCTTCAAAGAGAAGACTGATGAGTTCCGTACACCAAGTCCGATGGAAAGCTTGACAAGTGGCGGAAAAGGTGAGAAACAGCGACTTCTTTTACTCAGAATCTACCTGCTATACGAACGCGGGAACAGAGTATATATGGGCGAAACAAAAAAAATTGTCAAATTAAACCCGACGAATGATTGTTGCGTGTGGTTGCCTTCAAGGAAGCTCACTGAAATTCTGGGAAGCTTTAGATCAAATTTTTGAAAGGCATGGCTATTCTAACTCTTCAGACACTGTTGAAAAAGGCTGTGTCTACGCGAACAACTGAATAAATTTTAATCCCTAAAGACGCTAAATCTGTGCCAGTTGTTCGCACTTCGGAGTTCATCGGCAGCAGTTGACTCAAAGTAGAATAATCCACCTAGCCTTTACCGTTCAATTTTCCATTTCAGGCTCGTGGGACGAGTTGTCCACTCCGGCGCGCAGCTCGCCTGGCTATGGTTCCGCGTCCGGATCAGGCGGCTCCACTCCATCCGGCTCGTCGCCGTTCTCAACTGTATCTTCTTCTTCGCTGCATCTGAATCTTACCGATGATGATCGCGACTTCGATCTATTCAATTTCACTGTTGGATTCGATCATATAGCTCAGGATCTGGCTAAAACGCTCGAGCTGTGGTAAACTAAATATACTTTAGGGACTGCAGATAGTCCCTCGTGTGATTAACTGCCGGCTATACATATAGTCATTATCATTAAATGACGTCGATGATAGTCTAGTAGTATAATATTGTACTTTTGGTTTCTCGTGAATAGTGAACTAACAATTTTTCATACGGTATCTCTTTTTTTCTTGCCCCTAACTAACACACTGCAAACCTTCTGTAATCAAAAACCCAAAGTAAATTTAGCCTGTTTTCAGAATATACTTTTCCCCTACCTTTCATCGACGGGTAAGCGTCTTTCATTTCAACATTGCTCCCGTTCATTTTTGCTCAGTTGTGTCGAAAAAATATCTGTAAGAGTTCCTATGCTCGAGTATACTAAGGAATCCCCTTTGAAGTCATTTTGTAGATGTAATGATAAGAATTTTTTTCTACAGTTGAGTAATTGAATAAGCATGTTGTGATTTTATGTGCGATATAACACTAATAACTGTACATTGTGATAAATGCTAAATGCTAAATAATAACTATTTAATTAAGTATATTAAGCTTGTCTCAGTTGTATGGTAGTAGCATAGTAAAATTTGTGATCGCTAGAAAAAGCTCTATGTACGATCGTTTTGAGTTTCGCCTTCGAACATCCGTTTCTCATCTTGTCTACATTGGTCGCTTATATTACCTTCAAGTTCAAAAAATTCCACTTTGTAAATTTATTTGGTTTTTGTACGAGTTTCATTGCTGAATAATTCTGATTATCTGTTTGGCTTTTGTACGTCCCGGTTTGTCATACGCACACTGTGTAGGATAGAATTCTCTGTAAATGGTAATAATGTTTGTGGCAAATTGGGCAGTAAATAAAGCATAATTTTCAAAAGAAGTATGCTTTCATTAGAACATCAGAATCCGAGAAGGATTTCGCAAAGATTCTTCTACATGCTCATTGAGTTGTGACCGAGTAAACTTAATGATTTACTGCTTAACATTACAACGAAAACATGACGAGTATTTCAACTAATCAAAATTGAGATTTTTTGATCGTTATACGTTATTAGAGTATGCTTATCTAGATCTTTTGAAGAGGTTTGTCCACTGTGTATTACGCTTTCTTTGGCTTCGAGGGTCGTTTGAGGCGAGGTTCAGCAACCTGCAAGCAATAGTGAATTATTGCTACTTTCTTGAATAACTTTTACACGCATCTTTTGCTACAATTGCTCAGTGCTACCTCTGCTGCTAGAAAATTCTCGATTTCAAGCATGGTTAGCCTTATAAAGGGGTGAATCCTTTTGGCTAAAGCAGGGTGCTACCTCTACCACCAGCAATTCCTTTCCTGCCACTAGGGCGGTGTCCAAGCACCTTCCGCACTATCGTGTTTGACAAACATTTTGCTTTAAGGTCCCGCGAGGACTCGTAACGGTCGGGTCGCGGTAGGACCTCATGCAATCGAATGTAAAGAGATGCAAGTCATCTGCCATACGGCATTGGATTTGGTTTGGAGTTGATTTGTCGCAAGTGCACCATGCGTCCTGCAGTGCCTTAATTGAACCACAAAATACTTTCTGCGATTCCCATTTGTACAGATTTGCTTGAACGAATAGGATTCAAACCCGCCAACGTGTCGAATATCGACTCCCGTGATTCTGGTGACCTATCTTGATAAGTGGCAACTGGCAATTACTTCTCGTGCTTTAGGGTAGAGAGCATTATGTCGCTAAAATTGACATCTGCAACAAATGCTCACCTCTGTACGTCACGGTTCGTGGTGTTCCGCAGGGTAAGCCTATCGGCGATGATATATGATCCTACGCCCACAAGTTGTGTCGCATGCATAGGGCCTGTTTGAAAGTCTCGATGACATTACGGTAGTGCGAAGCGGCTTACTCCCAGCCTACTTCTAAGGAAAAACATTCATTGTTCAGGAAAGAAAACGTGAACATGGAGTACCATCTAATATGATGGTGGACAAAATCGAGCATAGGCCGCTTAGGGAGTCACTCAAATTAAAAAACAACATTTGAGGTCAACTCATTATGGAACTGTTGTGTCTCAGGCGTTGCGTTTACACGTTCAAAAGAGAAAGTGTGTGTACAGTTGACAATGCCCTTCATTGTGCAATGGAAAGGTGGAGGTGGATATGAAACCGCCGGAGACGACTTCGTTACCTCGCCTTTATGGAAGATATTTTGCTCGTGGATCGCTTTCCAGCAGGACTGCAATCTATGGTAGAGAAACTCCTTGATGCGCGCGAGCACACTGAACTTAAGATCTACGGAACAAAAGCAAATGGATAGCTTCAAATAGAGGAAACATTTGAACGAATTTGACCATAACACCAAACGGCAATGTCATCAAGCGTTCCTAGGTTCACCTCGGCCAACAACACAATTCCCGCATAATCATGACAAAGAAGTGTCCAGACATATTAGCACGGCATTCACTGTTTTCGGAGTACGAAAATTTCTCATCAACAGGAATTTTTCCGTTTAACTGAAGCGTCGTTGAAATCAAAAAATCACAAATCCTCGAATTGGATTCATTCCACTGCAAAGCTCAAATACGTTATTGCAACAGCACGAAGAAAAAAATGGCGATTTGCAAGGAAAGTCTCTTAGCGAGTCAAGAAGAAGGAAGATGGACAGAAACTTCAGCGAAGATGTTCGGGTGACGGCAGACCAGAAGACGATGGGGAGAGCTGAATGTATGTTTGTCTATCTGTGTGTCTGCATGTCTGTGTGTACGTGTGTTGCAAATGGAAAATCACTTCTGTGCCGATCCAATCACTTTGCTCACATACACTTTGAAGTGGGTCGGATAGTGTAAGCTACTTTTCGTTACAGATAGATATCGCTTTTTATCGATTTTTTGCAGAGCTACGGGATGGAAGATGGACAGGGAAGTAAAACATGCCGATTACAGTTATATTAATGACAGGACCGGGTTTGCCACCTAGTAAAAAATAAGGGATAAAAGAGAGAGTGTGTCTACAAGGCATTCTCTGCTTAGGAAGCTGTAAAAACACTAAGTACTACCTAATCACACTAGGCAACAGCCCACAAAAAATAACAGAACATCTTTGGGACAAGATTCCCGTCATCCGTGCTGCAAAAGTTTCATCATACAACGTTGAGTCTTGGAGTTGCCGTGCACGCAGCCAATGTAGTTGGTTCGCATGAAAGCACTGCCAAGAGTGTTAATTACACGCCGCTCACATCGGAAAACCGTTAAGATTATAAACTGTACTCGGCGTTCTACAGGGGTGGAAAATTTAACGCGAAAACCGGGATGCTATTTGGAAACTTACACATAATCGAGTCAATATGAGCACTTGGATGAAAGAGCAATTTTTTTGTTGGGCTTCTTTTCACAGCAGAGCTCCTGAAAGCTATCTTTATGAGGAACAACGCCAGTGATTGAGTCGCCTAAAACATGACTCAAGCTGAGATCAGCATTATTTTCACCAGCCAAAGTGTCGAAACAAAAAAGTCCCTCTTTGGTCATTTGGATCATCTTCTTCTTTGTGTGAAACTATTTAACGGAAACAACATCTGTCATCGAACGTAAGCAAGATAAATCATTTAGACGGTCACAGACTGGAGGAGTCCCGATCATGTTGTGACGAGCCTATTACGAACGGTCCAGCAAACGACGGCTTACAAGAGATTGCGGAAAGAACTTAGAACGCTTCTCGAATATTACTAAAAGCTTGTTGACAGTGGAATAACTTTGAACAAGATATGGATGCGGCTTATCTTGATGACTGGTAGCGAATGCCACTTGCAGAACAGCTATGCAGAGCAGGATCTTTCAAGGTAAGGTAAGCGAAGATCTTCAAAGAATACGAATTGAGAAGTCCCTAGGATTTCACACTGTCTATCATCCATAAGTATTCCTACTAGCCTTCCTGTATACATAAATGCAGGGCATTTGTACAAGCCGCTTTTTCCACCTCTTTGTGTGGTGATCCTCAGCGGTCAAACGCTTTCTTCGAAACCATTTTTCTTCCTCTGAAGTTAGTGAAAACATCCAAAGTGGTGAAGATTGTTTATGTCAACATTTTCAAGCATAATTCCAATAAGATCAACTAAAGTGAGTCATAAAAATCCCGATGAACTTGCAATCGCGCAAATCTAACCAACGGTTCAGCCTAATCCCGATTGGGACAGACTGTATACATGTTTTATGTTGGTTTAGACATACTTCATCATGTTTTCAATTAGGTAGTGGCTGAGGGATGTCATACTTCACCGAGAACCCACAGAAAGCACTTAAAGGCAGTGCCCATGCAAAAAGTTGATTTTGGGGATTTGTGCTTACCTTGGCCTATTCGCTATGCTGAATCCGAAAATCCACACTGGAGAGCGCAAAAACGGCGAAAAAGGGCTCTAACGCAGAAGAAGTTGCAGGTGGGCGGGGCTGTTCACATGGTGACCTCATTCTCCCAGCTTCAGGAGCAATCTTCTCGGTTCCTATGTCATGCGTTTCGCAGTTGGCTTATGGTGATGTTAAGACGACTAGCGGAAACAAGGAGATCGCTCCTAATATTGGGATAGTGACGTCACACTCTGAACGGCCCCGCCCACCTGCGATTACCCTTGCGCGTTAGAGCCTTTTTTTGCCGTTTTCGCGCTCTCCAGTGTTGATTTTCAGGCTCAGCATAGCGAATAAGCCCAGGTAAGCACAAAATACCAAAATCGACTTTTTGCATGGTCACTGCCTTCAAAGTCAGCATCCAGGCAAATCTGGACATACGGGTTCTGATGTGGAAAGTAATTTTGGGGCCCTAACTAAGGCACTGCCCAAGATGCAGCTCAAATGGTGCACTCGTTGAGATATTCGCCTCCAGACTGATCGTATTCGCATGGATTCATGGCGCGACACTCGTGGATCCTCGCGCGAAACTGATGTTTCGCGCCATGAAAACATGCGAATACGATCCCGGGGTCCAGTTTGGAGGGGAATATCTCAACTGTAGCTCACCACTTGCTGCTGCTTGGACAGTGTTTTAGGTTGTGGCTCCAAGATTACCCTCCAAGTGAGATTCGCATAGGCCCAGACTTTCAGATGCCTTTAAGAGCATCTGAAAGTGCTGGAAAACGCCAGTCTCAAAAGCGCTAAAAACGCCAAAACAATTCCTTCGTCATGGCTAATGTGGACTTGTAGGGAAGTTTGAAAATTGTTCAATTAGAGCGGATACATTCATAACATTCATCATGTCAGTTTTTTCTTCTCAGTGTAGGTCAGGGTAATTTGGTGCATATTCAATAATTTTTCATCTAGGTGTGATATCTTTGCCCAAGCATTTGTACGTTTGTACCTTGTCTGCTGCGAAAATATGGAGTTGCTCAAAGTACGTCTGGCGTCACCATAAAGTTCCTTATTGACAGTTTCGAGGAATGAGTTCATTTTCTCGAGCTACTAGTGGGTTCTAGTGCTGAACATGTTTTGAAACTTGCGCTTTAGGATTGGGCCAGACTGTGCGACGTATACAGCGTACCCTTCATATCTTTGTGCAAAGCTGCGAATGTCGCGCATGGCCAGACCCTCAGCGCTGGAAGTTGCACACGCGAAGTAGAGGGCCATTTTGGGTGGTTTCCGGCGCTTTTATGCCTTGGCACTTTTGAGTGCTTTCTGGTGGATTATGGCCGGTATCTAACGAAAGTTTCACGTTGAAAAAGAGCTCACACTTTTCATAGTTGGTTCCTCTTTCACATCCATCTCAGGTACAAAGCGTTCATATGACCCTATAATTACATTAGTGTTCCCCCATTCCTGAGATCAACGCTTTTGAAGAACAAAAGGCTAGTAGGAAACCTTGCACTGGCGATTCACTCGATGGAGTACGTGGTAGCGCATCCAAGCTCAGAATGGCGGTCACTACGCCTTCGTCATGCCTATCTCTTTTCTTGCTTGGTGGTGTAATTGCTCTCTAGACAAAAAAAACTTGAAAGGGGGGAATCACAAAGCAAGTTTACTACCGCCGTCTTTGCATTTCTCTTTGAAGACCCTTTCTCGGTATCTTTCTCCCTGATGTCTTTCTCCACTGCTACCATTTTCTTGAGATCACTCGCCGGCTTCATTGATTCTGCTCTTCTCACAAGTTCGCATGTATCTTGATCGAAGTCCTGTTGGTCGGCTACTTCCACTTCTGGTCCAAGTATAGACTCAGCGGATTCTGTTTGCTTAACGTTTGGATAGCCATAAACTGAAGCTTCTGTCTTCGACGTGTCTATCCTCTGTAAAAAAAATCTGTCCGTCGTGTCCGTCATTCAACCACTTAAGGACCTGCTAATCTTTTGGTTCTATTATTTTACATAAATTTCAGCACAGCTTGTAGTAAGATCAGCATATTGAGTAGCTTCGGCATCTCATTCCCTTGCAGCTGAATCGCAGTGGGCCAAGCTACTGGCGCAAGCAGCGTAAAAGCTCTAATCTACTTCTTCAGTGAATATTTAAGAGCTTCTTTCATATTTCTTTCGCAGGCCGGTTTTAAGTAAACTTTTTTGAGAGTAGTTGCGCCAAGTGTGATACATCGCCGCTGAGAGCAAATGCGCAGATGCGCGTGTTGAGATTATACTTCACTCCATTTCGGAAGCACTCAAATGCTCCTTCAAAGCCCGTCTGCTTCAACGCCACGCAGGAATTTGGGTTTACATTTCGCTTAATCTGCGGTGTTTGTGCGGATATTTAATTTTGGGTTTTTTCCTCTTCAGTCTTCTGGTTCACCTAATTAGAAAGTTCTTTGTTGTCACCAATCGCAGATCAGATGCTTAAGTTACATGTTCTTTCCACGCGCTCGTGCTGCGACTTGAACTAAAGCTCGGTTCATGTATATTTAGCGGATTCGAGTTGTCCTAAAGAACTGCAATAACACCGTAGTTCTAGGAAGCTGTAACCACAGTTCGCGCTCAACCAAGAGAGCTGGAAAGCTGTAAGCTGGAAGGTTGCACTGCTTCTAAATCTTATATATTAGGTCGTTCCAAAAGTTCTTTCCGTTTTTTCAACCTATCATAAAAACACGTGGAATGAAGGTAGGGAAACGCATCAGGCAATATCCGACGCAGCTTTTCTTCTTCTTTTAAACTGTTATAATCGTTTGCCGCTTGCTATTGTGGTCAGTGAGATAATGGCCGAAATTTCGGACCTATGGTTTTTACCATGTCCAAATTTGGCAATTTTTCACTATCTTCTTTCTTAACTTTTGGAGAAGCTTTGATATCAGTCAGATAAAGTAGACAAAGTGCAATGCAATGCAATTTTTTGGCAAATTCAGCCGGCTTCTTATTATTTTTTTAGATAACTTTTTCAGAAGTTTTCACTTTTTCGAAGTCACAAAACACACAAACGCTCTGAACATCAACAAATCTTCGGTTTTCAAATTCAAAAGTCGTTTATGATTGTACACTATTTTTACAAAGTAACTGAGCGTTTACCGCTTCGAAATATAAGATTTTGCATTGCACGGATACATCATGAGGCGGGTTCAAAATCAAGCTTTATGGAAATTTTATCGCCAAAGACCCCACAAAATAATAAGAGAAAGTACTCATCAGAAAGAGGAGAAAAAGCTGCATCGAATGACACCTTAGTTGTGCGCCGTTTTATGTTCTGTGGCTTTCGGCATCCCCAAAAGTGGAATTTGATAGCATCAGAAAAATAATTCTAAAAATGTTTTGAGGATAGCTATAGACGCCAAAAAATTCCCTTAAATTGCACTTTGTTTACTTTATCTGATTGATATCAAAGCTTTTCCTAAAGTTGAGAACGAAGATTATGAAAAATTGCCAAAGTTGGACATGGTAAAAACTATAGGTCCGAAATTTCGGCCATTATCTCACTGACCACAATAGCAAGCGGCAAACGAATATAACAGTTTAAAAGAGGAAGAAAAGCTGCGTCGGATATTGCCTGACGCGTTTCCCTACCTTCGTTCCACGTGTTTTTATGATAGGTTGAAAAAACGGAAAGAACTTTCGGAACGACCTAATATAAAGCTGAATGTCTGTTTGTATGTCCGTCTGTCTGTCTGTCTGTGTGTGTGTACGTATGTTCCGAATAGAAAATTCCATTTCTCAACCGATCCGGACCAAACTTTGCACACATACACTTCGGTGCCGGGCGGGTCATAGGCTACTTTTCGTCATAGAGCGATATCGATTTTATTAATTTTTCAAAAAGTTCGAGCTACGGGGCTGGGAGTTGGCACAGGGAGGTAAGTGAGCATGCTGATTGATATATTATTGATAGGGCCGGGCGGAGCCGGATTTGCCAGCTAGTGTTGTATAAGCTCAGAAAGCAATGCGTTTCACCAAGTTCAGTTGATTTTTGGAAGAGACTGAGAGATCAAAACGAATGCATTAGAAAAGCAGAGACATGCAATTCCGCATTTTTGCGAACGGGACAACTTAATTCCAACTCCTCGACATTCTTAAGCAACCAGAGCAGCAGGATTTTAGAGCCGCAAACTTACCAAAAGAAAGCGAGTCTCTAGAATGAGATCGTATTACGTGATTTGGTTCTCTATATATGAAATACGAAAGCACTTTTGATGAACGAAAGTGATTGGAAAGAAGGGTTTAGACGCTTGATAAAAGTGTGCGTGGTAGTACTGCATAAAATTTCAATTATGCAGCACAAGTGAGTATGTATCCTACTCAAGCTTATTTTTGCGTTAGGAATCAGTCTACTAGGATTATACTAAATGCTGAGTTGAATTGAGATTGTTGCGGTTGCAACCGCAACAAATCTCAGAGTTTTGTTGCAGTCAATTTAACTATCATCTGCTAAAACGAGCCTCTTCAAGATCTGATTGAAAAGAATTCAGGGACTTCATGATTTGCTGCGTCATATGGCATAGCTGCATATTCTATAATTGCAGAGAATGATTAAAATCTGCTCATGTACGTTTGCACCCATGAGAGCTGGTAAAGATGAAAAATTTCGTTAGTTAGTTTCAGTTCCGAAGTGGAGATTCGATAGTTATAATAGAATACGTTCATAATTCGTTTACGTAATGGGTGATCATCTGTTGACACTGGAGGAAGAAATTGTTGCTAAACAATAGTGCCTTTTCGCTATTCCGAATCAATATTTGTTCCGCTACTTGGACATTGGCCTGATGGGGGTCCAACTACCATAAGCTGCCAAAAGCTCAAGACATCACTTAGGGTGGACGGCAGCGCCCACCCAAAATTTCGTCTTTCAAGTTTTTAAGTTATCGGTCTTTCTTTGACGCTAAATTCGGATTTGAGGCTCAAATTACCAGAAAGCTCCAAAATTGCCCCTTTCTGAAGCCCAATTTTGGCAGACGTGAACGAGTGCCCCTGCGCTAGTCGCTCGTATGCAGAAATAAACCTCGTCGTCTGCAACGGGCCACATAACAAACTATGCGTATCGGCTTTGCTTGTCATGTCAGAACACGCCAGGGGGCAATCCGTGGGTTGCTGGAGAGCAAAAAAAAGGAGCGGAGCACAAAGAGGATCAGGTGTTATTTTGTAGGCAAGATTAGGGGACCAGACCAACGCCGTTGGTCTACTTTTAGGGAGAGCTTAGTAGGATAAGTGGTGATTTCGGGTGAGTAGGTTTTGGATGAACGCTGCCTTTAAGATTGTTAGTAGATGTGGGGTCACTTTATAGCCGGCTTCAACCTAAATGTACCACAAAACAAATTACCGATCTCTCAAAAAAAAGTAGGATCAAAGGAACTTTCAGCATTTCGCGCCGATCTAAATTGACTACATTTCAAAACATTTCAAAAAACCGGAAATGTAAGCAGATCTTCGTCTGCTTTACTACTTGATTTTCTGCAAGTCTGCACAGCTTTTTGAACTAGGTGATCGCATTTTCAAATGCACCGTCCACTCAAAAGTCCGGCCTCTTTTTTTACCCGCCGCTCTTTCCAATGCTTTGATTTTCAATATGAGGTACAAATCGCATGAATCTCCAAAAACTCCAATTCCTATAATCCTTTCCTGGCAGGCCTAGAGGAGTATTAGAGGACTGAAAATAGCAGTTCTCTACTTCTAGGGCGTGCTTGTAGATGTATAGTAATCTGGAATGTATGGATTCTGAATGGACGCTGTCTTAGAGAACACCTGAAGAGTTCATTGTGTAGTTAGCATGACTTCCTAACAAACTTTCACGCTAAAATGCAGACTTTACAGTCAAAGTCAAAGGCTCTATATAGCCTAGTGTGTGCATTTTTAGATTGCTAGTTCCTTTTCTGAGGCAAAGCATGAACCTCGGGTAGCATAAAACCTCTTTGAAGTTCCTAACGTAATCTTCAACAAAAGAGAAGGTGATTCGTCCTATAGTTCAATATGGTAATTAAAACGAGCTCCACAAAATGAAAGCCCTAGGTCCGCTAAAGACATCAAGAGAATTATTCACAACTAGATGGCAAACCCGGCTCCGCCCGGGGCCAAACTTTGCACACATACACTTCGGGGCAGGGAGCGTGTCATAGTCCACTTTTCGTTATCGATCGATGTCGATTTCACCGATTTTTTGCAAATTTTGAGCTAGGGGGCTGGGATTTTGCACAGGGGGGTAATCGAACATGCTGATCACCCCCCCCCCCCCCGTGGGGGTGATCAGCATGTTCGATTACCCCCCTGTGCAAAATCCCAGCCCCCTAGCTCAAAATTTGCAAAAAATCGGTGAAATCGATATCGATCGATAACGAAAAGTAGCCTATGACACGCTCCCTGCCCCGAAGTATATGTGTGCCAAGTTTGGTCCAAATCGGTTCAGAAATAAAAATTTCTATTCCGCACATACGTACAGACAGACATACAGACATACATACAGACAGACATTCAGCTTTATATATAAGATTTATCTTACAGAGTGTCGCAAAAAATGTGCTTACTGTTCGATCGTTGATAACTCTCTTGTCATTGAGTTTTTCGAGAAGCTTTAGGTGCCATTTTGTAGGGCTGACTTAGCTTAGAGTTACTATATGGAGCGAATTACTGTTCTCTCCACGTTACTGTAAAGCGTAGGGATTTTAAAAGAGGTTTTACGCTATTGAGGGTTATCTTCTACCTTTAGAAAGGACTAAGGGGCTGAACACTCTTGCACTAGGTCAATCAGGTTTGCTGATTCGAAGTATGAAACTCGCACTTCACGGTAATATTTGTTTAGAAATTTATGCCAGATATCCTCCACAATGGTCGGCCTCCTCATCGTGGCGTGGGGTGACATTGGGTGTCGAACTGCGATGCACAGCCGAGTG